AGCTCACAAGTTTGGAATCCACCAAACTTAAACAAGTCGCAACTTGCACAAAACCAAAGGGTTTGTTTTTGATTAATCAAAGTCTTATGTTTTTACAACGAAACTAGAAGGTATTTAAAGGCAAATAAACCTAATGTACCTTGGAAACAATTAAGGTAAAAACAAACTCTAAAAACAGTACAAAACTCGGCCATAAACTTCCTTTCTTGACGCACAAGTAAGCTGCCAGCAAAACAATCAAAAGGCAGCTTTCGTACTAACTTCGCGCCTTTCGTTCGAGGCCTTCCAGAACTCCGATCTTTCATCCAATTCCTTCCCTTGGTAGATAAACATTCCTCATTTCATGTTGTATAAGCCTTTTGACTTGAATCCCATCCATGCTCCTTGAATTGAGCTCCAAAGTAGGCTTCACCAAACAGTTTTCTGCCTTAGCCATTTTCTGGCAGTTTTCCAGTTTTGAGGTAGCAACTTTGAGGCCTTGGAAAACAACCTTAATGACATCTTCTGGATCCAAAAAGCGTACCATTGGAAAGATGGAAACTTTATCTTTAAAACAAGCCCTTGATCTTCCATTTTTATTGAGCCATTTGTGAGATACAAGCTTCCAAAGTAGGCTACCTGAAACGGTTTCAAATCAGAATTCTTCAAGTTAGTTGAGATGACTTCTTTGGCAAGTAATTGTGAATTGTGGATTGATCCAATTGGGATCATATCATAAGCTAAGTGGTATAGTTGATGTAAACTACTTAGTCCATAATTCTTATGGACTAAGTAGTTGGGGGCATTTGTTTACCATTAAAAAATCATTTGATACCACATTGATTATTTTCAAGGAGTGGTAGTGGTTTATAAGGCCAACTTAACCATATTAATTAAATTGGTTTAAGCTGGGTCTAAATGATGGAATTTTGGGCTTCATACAAGGTAACTCAAAACACACCCCTTGACCCACCAAACACCCACCTGTCAAGCATGACATCATGCAGGTCATCATGAGTCCCCCTAAATGCGGTAGGGGAACAAGGGAAATTTGGCTAAGTGTTGAGACCCAAGGGGGTCAAGCATGACATCATGCAGGAGGGTCAAGCATGACGTCGTCAAAAGGGGATCAAGCACCAAGTACCATGGGAGACTACCTGCCTTGTACTGGGGTGTCAAACATGATGTCGTGCAATGAGGGTTGTCAAGCAAACAAATACCTCTAGAACGTGGCAGCAAAAGAGAAAGGGGATCAAGCACCAAGTACCATGGGCGACTACCTACCTTGTACTGGGGTGTCAAACATGATGTCATGCAATGAGGGTTGTCAAGCAAACAAATACCTCTAGAACGTGGCAGCAAAAGAGGAGAAATTGAGCTAAGTGTTGAGATCCAACCACAAGCATGAAGCCCTCACTCACCAAGCAAAACAACTCCATGGCACAAGGGGCTAGCTATCAAGTGAATGCATCAAGGTGCAAGGTATCAAGTGACAAGCACGCAAGGCAGTTAAGGCGTCAAGCAAGCTACATCAAGTAGTGGAGCAGCGATTACCAAGAGGAGGTTACAAGTGATGGCTATAAATAGGACAAACGAAGATGAAGCAAGGGTTCCACAACCAAACATTTGACACACAATGTCAAACTTTTAAATTTTCTCTACAAATTAGCCACAACCTTAGTTTCGGAGCTCTCACTGAACCGTCATAGAAGTAGGTGTAATTAACTTAGCTTCTTCCCAAAAAACGTCAAAACATCAAACACACTCGTTCGTACATTGTTTGGAAAGGATTGAACTGTGTTACTAGTTGTTGCTCAAGAAATCAAATGTGCATTAATTGAGTTCAAACACCAGATTTTCCTTGCCGGAAAACAATCGATAAACTAACTGCAAACCACCCACCGTCGGTGCTTCAATTCGAACTACTCATTACCATCGACAACAACACATGCAAACCAAGCTTCCGTTGGCGGCGACTAAAAGGTTTAATTAATGGAACTTACCGCTCTCTGTAAATATGTCGCCCTCTTTTTTCTTTTACCGGTTCCTAACGATAATCCAACCGCCTCTATCTCGTCTCTTCCTTTCTTTCCCTATTCCACACTGCATGGTTCTTTCACGATGGCATTTTACGAGAAGAAAATCCCAATTCCACGATGACCTCCTCTCCTCCTCACTTTCGACGCCGCTGGAGGAGCAGTCAACCACAACTTTGAAGGCGAGGAGACATCTAGATTTCAGACCGCGAACTGAGTCAATGCTCACTGACTCCAATCGAATCCAACTTCACAATTGATTTTGCTGCTGCAAAGCTATCCATTCAAATTTGGTAGTTCTTGTTACAAATCATATCTCGATGGAGCAGGAAGAGTAGTTGCTCGATTTGTGTTTACCACTTGAAAAAATCACTTGAACCAGATTGATTATTTTCAAAGAGTGGTAGTGGTTTATAAGGTCAACTTAACCATATTAATTAAATTGGTTTAAGCTGAGCTTAAATGATGGAATTTTGGGCTTTGTACAAGGTACCTCAACACACACCCCTTGACCCACCAAACACCCACCTGTCAAGCATGACATCATGCAAAGGGGGTCAAGCGTCAAGCGTCGACACCCTTCAACATCAACAACCCAAGCCGACATGGTGGACGCAAAATTTGGCTAAGTGTTGGGACCCAACTGCAAGGGGGGTCAAACATGATATCATGCAAGGGGTCAAACATCGGCCACCCAAGTAGGCATGGTGGTGGAGAAATTTGGTTAAGTATCAAGACCCTTCCTAAACACCTACCTACCAAGCAAGCTATAGCCGACTGTCAAGTATGTTGACCGACCACCTACCACTTACTATAGCACAAAGGAGGTCAAGAATGACATCATCCAAGGGGGTCAAGCATGACATCGTCCAAGTGGGGTCAAGAACCAATTACCATGCCGCCTACTTACCTTGCATATGATGTCGGGAAAGGAGGGCCATAAAGCATATAATTACCCTCTATAACGTGGTGGAAAAGGAGAGGAAATAGGAAATTTGTCTGAGTGACAAGCACGCAAAGCAGTTAATGTGTCAAGCAAGCTACATCAAGCATCAAGCAGTGGAGTAGTGGTTACCAAGAGGTGGTTACAAGTGATGGCTATAAATAGGAGAAACGAAGACGAAGCAAGGGTTCCACAACCAACCATTTGACACCCAATGTCAAACTTTATCATTTTCTCTGCAATGTAGCCTTAGTCGTAGTTGGAGGTCTCACTAAACCTCCATAGGAGTAGGAGTAACTTAACTTAGAATTTGTAGTTTTCTTTCACCATCAATCAAACACCCTCGTTTGAACTTTGTTTAAAGAGGTGTGAGCCGTGTCTTAGTAATCGTTGTCCAAAGAAGTCAAAGGTGCAATCAATCTCAATTCAACACAAGCTTTCTCTCCGGTAAACAATTGGGAAGGAGGTTTGCAGATTGGCCAAGACGGCGGAGGAAGAGAAGGATCTAGATTTCTTGTGCTCAATAGTGGATATTGATGTATATTTGGGGTTGGTAGGAAGAGAAGGATTTGGACTTTTTTTATAATTTAATTTTTGGGAAAACAACTTAAGAGAAATTTTACAATGCTATATAGTATTGGTGTTATAGGTTTTTGCCTTTATGGTACAATTTAAAATTGTACATTTACGTTATGGTACAACTTCATATTGTACCTATACTTTTTGTACAAATTCTTTTATGGTACAACATGAACTTGTACCTTTATGTGATGGTACAATTTCAAGTTGTAAAGTTGTACCATAACATAATGGTACAAATTGTTTTATGGTACAACCTAAACTTATACATTTAATGTTATGGTACAACTTTGAGTTGTACATTAAAGCACCAATGCTATATAGCATAGTAGAAGTGCTCGCAACTTAATTGGAAACTAATTTTTAATAAAATAAAAAAATCATAAAGTATATGTGGCTGATGTGGTAACTTATGTGGCTGATATATAAACACCATGTCAGTTCGACAAACATTTTGACCACTATTAGGTCAATTGTTAAATTTAACTGCCAACAAAATATTTGGGTTACAAATAATCTAAAACTTTATAGATTGGGATGTCATATTAGATAAAATAAAGCGCAAAGTGACAATTTTTTTAACATTAGAATGTTGTAGTGTTATTATTAGTAAGGTTGTTAATGAACCAGGCCGCTCATGAACGACTCGACGTTCGACTCGATAAAATCTCATTCGACTAGGTGACTTGTTGAAGTTAATTCTTGAACTCTCTTATTTTGAGCTCATGAGATGTCTCAATATTTTGATTAGTGAGACAACTCGACTATTAGCCTATGAGAAAATCGATCTATATCATATTAGTTTGCTTATTGGTAATTCATAGGTTTATTAAATTATATATCTCACATGTTTAAGATTTTGAGTATGTGAGCAAATATAAACATGGAATCATTTAATCACATTTATCATACATGAGATATAAATATTATGATTTGATTTATAAATTATCATAGAGTTGAGCTTTAGTCGAACTCCCGATCCTAATGATGAGTCAAGTAAGTTTTAATAAATGAGCCGACTCGAGCTCGACTCGACTCAGCTCGTTCACTAATGAGTCATGTTCGAGCTCGACTCGTTTATTAACGAGCTAAACATGAAGGTCGACTCGGCTCATTAATCTCCCTAATTATTTATTAAAGGAGAAATCATTTCTTAAAAAAAAAATTCATCATCTCTGGCCGGGTTCAAAGTTAGTCCCTCTATAAGGAAAAAAAAAAAAAAGAATTCACAGCCTTCTTGACGTGAGATAACAGCAAGATACCCGTTCGCCCTTGTAAGTTGTAATTGATGTATTCCTGCCGGGTAGTGCTCCACTATATGCAGCCACCTTAAAAATAATCTAGGAGGATATTGAAGCAATCTTTCCCTGGAAAGACTTCCTTCTCCGTTCGGAGATTTTGTCATCTTCTTCTGCTAGTAAAGTGAAGGGCGTCGGGAGGAGGAAAAGTTACGGCGAGCGGAGATGTGGGAATCGATCCTTCTGACCCTGGCGGCCACCGCCGGTAATAACATCGGCAAGGTTCTTCAGAAGAAGGGCACTATCATCCTCCCTCCTCTCTCTTTGAAGCTCAAGGTGCGTCCACTTCTTCCCTTTTCCCTCGTCCCGCTATAAATTCTATCGTTGAATCTGATTTTTCCAATATCTGATCCATAGGAATCGATCCATAGGATTGGATTGATTAGTTTAGCTTTTAGCTCCCGCGATTGCGTTTCTTAGCCAACTTCTGATTTTCCAATTGCGATGTGAAGATCCCATTTCCCGGTTGTTCTGGGTTTTGTAGATTCCGTTCCTTTTCCAGTTGCTTGGTCACGCATCATACGTTTTCTTTGTATCATGAACTGCCCATCAAGGTAAATTTAACTGATTGTGACTGCCTGATGAGAGTGGTGCGTTTTTAATTCGCAGGTGATAAGGGCCTATGCTTTAAACAAAGCGTGGGTCACTGGTTTTATTATGGACATAGGTGGAGCAATGTTGATGCTGAAGGCTATATCTCAGGCCCCTGTGAGTCACATCTTTAAATTTGTGAATTGTGCTCCGGAATTTCATTCCTTTTCTGAAAACCATGTAGTGGCAACAGTGGGAAGGGAGTAAAAGGAAATGCTTTAGCACTTCATTAGAAGAAGGATAAAAATTCATGAAATCCAAATTGATATGCTCTCAACAAGAGATGTATAGAAAATTATGCAATGTCCCACGATACTGAAATGATTGGTTTTCGACACCATGTGGGTTGTCTTCAGTTAATGGTACTTGCTGGCTGCTCCTTTTGCCACCTTTTTTCAGTTGAATGATGTTCGCTGTCTTCCCCTCAGGTATCTGTAATTCAACCAGTTTCAGGCTGTGGACTCGCTATTCTTTGCATCTTTTCTCATTTCTATTTGAAGGAAGTCATGAATGTGATTGATTGGGCTGGAATAACATTGGCCGGGATTGGTACCCTAGGTATGTATTGTTTCTGATTTTATGCTGGTTTTCTATGACCCATGTACACCTTTCTTCGATGGGGTAATAACCTGATGTTTTTATAGTTGTTAATGAATTATGGATAACCTATAGGAACCTTGGCACATCATAATGTCTGCTCTGCATTTCTGATAGACCTCGCTTGTCGTTTGTTTTCTTTATTGTCTTGTTCTGTAAATGTTAGAAATTACGCTAATGGTATCTAATTCATCCCAAGCAGTAAAATGGCTCTGTTTTGACATTTAAACTTCTCTTTTCTCAATTATATTCGTCTGCTACTGAAATTTCAGCTTGCCATTCTTTTGTAGGAGTTGGTGCTGGAGGTGAAGAGCAAGAGTCTTCTCCTGTATCAGTATTTCAGTTGCCATGGTTGGCAGTAGTGGTTGCCTTGTTGTTTGTAGGTACCTTATTGCATGCACCATCTTCCATGAATTCCTGTGTCACGGATATAGCTTAGTCTGATAAAGCAGTCCTATGCATGATATAACCCAGTCTGTCTTGGAAGATAGAAAACCATTCTGGAGTTTGGAAATTAATGGGGTGGATGCCTAACCCGGTGAACTGGAACACTGATACTGCTAATTGATTTTGTCTGTTTATTTTTCAGATTGAAAGTTGCAAATTTTTTTAGGGGAGCCTCAAAGCACCAACACTCTTACCTCATGATTGCCACTCCATCAAGCATAAACTTATCCTAGATCTTTAAATTCAGGGCCTATATGAATCTAATGAGTCAACCCTATCCAACTTACTTCAAAGTATAGAAATCTGAAGTGAAGAATGTTTTCTGTATGAGCAATTTCTTGAGACCATGGCCTCGCCTAATATCAGTTTTCCAATTAGAGAAGCTCTTCAAATCATCAGGCTAGAGTGCTTAATGCTCACGTGCTCCTATTATGTCTTGCTCGTACCTAAAGTATCCTGTAAAGGTTGCTAAGATGCACTGATTGACACTTTAAGCATTCAATAGGAACTAAACATGTTGGTGTTAATGTGCCAGTTTATTTTCTCTTTCTTTTACGGTAGGCTTGTTATGTTGATTGACTTAAGTATATGATTTTTGCTAAACCATAACTACCTACCTACACCACTGGTTGAAATTTTGAGTGACTTACATGTTTGTGCTCCTAAACCTAATAAGTTGGTTTACTGAACAGTCGATACAATTTTGTTTTGGTTGTATCATACAGCTTGTTCTAGGCGGTCGAGAACTCTGTAGCAGATCTCTGCTTGGATGACATGCTAGTTTGTATGCAATTGAAGTTTTTTTTGTTTGCTTCAATTCCTCTTTATGTTTATCTGCTTTCATTTGTCATCAAGCAGCATTGCTAATGTTTTAAGTAGTATTAATGCATGCTATGTAAATTCTCTCCTACACAATTACTTTTGAACACAAACTAGAACGGAAAAAGAAACCACGATGCCAAGTCGTAGAATGTTTCTGCTGTAGATTAAAGCTTGCAAGACCTTAGCTAGTATTCCTCAAAAGCGTAGCAATTTTATTAGAAGTAGTGTGAGAATACATGTTGGGCATGCAAACTTAAAGCCTTGGGGGCATGGGCTGTTCATATTGATGTTTGTATGAACATAATCTGGTTGTTATTTAGTAAATTGCCCGTTTTGGTGATTCTATGGTGGGAGTTTTTAGTTGAAAGATGATGGTTACTTTCGATTGTTGTCTCCTTAATTAACCATCAATTTTTCTGATAGGTAGTGCTGAATGGATGGCTTCGGGTTTGCAGGCGACAACGAAGAGAACAAGATACTGTAGGTTTTCTATTTTGAATTTCAAGGGCTGATCAGCATTGCCCTTCCTTGTTATTGATTTTAATCTTCTTTTTTTTTCCCCCTGTATTATCTTCTATGTTTTTGTAGATGGAATATGAAGTGGTTGAAGAAATTATATATGGCCTGGAATCCGGCATTTTATTTGGGTAAAACTCCTATCACAACTTTTACCGAAAATGTAGTCTCTTAGTCGAACAAGAAGCTGAAGTAGTCTGGCATTCTTTGAGAGTTAGGTTTGTAACTGGATTTCATAGAATTTTGGACAATTATAGGAGTTACTTGTCCAGTGACATGTTACTTGCTAGTACAACTGTTACCCTTTTGTAAAGGAATTCAAGTTTAAAATTGGAGTCCGAGGATAAAAGTAGAACTTGGTTCTTGGTAACATTAAAATAAAAAGGTCTGCATTCTTGGCTTGAAGGCTCATGAAATGCTATCACCATTGAGCTTGGTTGAACATCCCATATGTGGAGCTAATATTTCTAGTTGCAGGATCTCTTCTGTGATATCAAAGATGGGATTTGTCTTCTTGGAACAAGGGTTATCCAGATTGCTTGTTCCTGTATGCATCTCAATCAGTGTGTGCTGCAGTGGGATTGGATTTTATTATCAGGTCTGTTTCATCTTGTTCAATGCTGCACGTGACTAAAGTTGGCTGCATCAACTTTAAGCCTCTAAAGCTGCTGCTGAATACATCAAATCTTTCAAGAGGCAAACTGAGTTACTACATTTTTACATGTAACAGACAACTGGTCTAAAGCATGGAAGAGCGATTGTGGTGTCCACTTGTGCTGCTGTAGCATCAATAGTGACTGGTGTGCTAGCTGGAATGCTTGCCTTGGGGGAGCGGTTACCTTCTGCCCCTGCTGCACGTCTTTCCCTTCTGCTTGGCTGGTAACTTCCCAGAATTTGGATCATTAAGCTTGCTTTTGTGACTATCGATTGTTCAATGTAGTCCTAGGAATCTCATGATGGGTATCAGAAGCAAAAGAGGTGGTCACTGGTCACTATTGGTCTCTACACTGTCCTATTGCTTGTTGTTTATATATTTTTTCTGTCATTGGCTGGGGTAACTTGGGTGTTTATATAGGTGCAATGTATACAGTTTCCCTTGTTAGGATGACTTTCGAACATTTTATGCCTCACTCAACTGAATCTAATGCTTGGTGCCAGGCTGCTTATTGTAGTGGGTGTGCTGCTACTTGTGAGCTCCACAAGGTTGCTACGACACCTTCCGCGGCCGTTGCGGCGCTTTGTCAAAAGTGGCATTGACAGAAACTTCACTCCTAGTCGATCTACTTCTATGCGTGCTAAGGATTCAAATCCAAGTGCCGTTATCCAGGCAGCGACATTGCATCACTTGATATCATCTTCATCAAAGCAAAAAGCATGATGGGGAAATTTGATTTAGAAGCTGGTCTGCCGTACCAGAAGCGCTTTGCTTCGTTCTGGTTAGTATATCTTTGTTGATGGAGGGTTGGGGGTTGGATCTGTTGGAAGAATGGAGTGTACAGTTTTCATGATTGCCTTGTCCAGGTTTTGACGCCCACTTCAACCTGCAATATTCTGAAAAGCAATCAACCAAAGATTCATTTTTATGTGTGTAGTTTTTTTGTTGTTGCAGATATTGATAGATGTACGCAGACTTATTTGCTCATTAGGAACTGTAGAAATTGACTCTAAACTTGAAGGAGCTTCAGCTGAGGTTAACCTCTATCCACAACGGTTTACCTCAGTCGCAGTAAAATATTGGATTCAATTCGTTAATCCTCTTGTCAGATTCCATATCAATGTTACGAAGATAGAAAGGAATAAGAAAATTCATGGTGTGTATTCAAGGAAATACCCTAATATTGTTCCAAATGTATACAAATGAACAATTGTTGCCCCAAGTTTGAATAAAGATAAATGTAACCTACTTTTATATATAATAGACAGATTTGGCCACAGTTTTTAGTTGATAGTAACTAGTAAGTAGTACAATCAAGTAAGTTGACTGTTAATGACTCAATCTGAGTTGTTGATGTGGCTGTTAGGTACGTACCACGTTAATGACTCAATCTGAGTTGTTGATGTGGCTGTCAGGTACGTACCACGTTAATGACTCAATCTGAGTTGTTGATGTGGCTGTCAGGTATGTACCATGTGGCTATAAGGGAAAGCAGCTCACAACTCTTTGCCTTAATCCTCTTCGATCAGAGTTTAGAAAGAGGAAAGCAATAGACCCCATTACGAACTAGCATGCCCTAGAGGCATGGCTGCATGAAATCTATATGAGTATACAAGGTTTCAAGTTTTGAACATTGTTCCAACATAGTCCTACCCCCGATTACTATCCCAAATTTTGAGTTGCAGACTTGCACAATTCACATATTCCAAATACTGGACGTTTTGAAGGGAGGGATAACCGAAATCTTGTCAAACATATTACAACGTTTATGGAGATATATGATTCTGTACAATACCCTAGGTTGAGCCATATGCAATCCTTCTACATCTCTTTCCTTTCTCCATCTAGGGGAAAGCAAAGAGCTAGCTAAATTGTCAAACTCTAGGTACCTTATGTATGTGGGACGATCTGGTCCAAGCTTGCATAGAAGAGTTCTCCCCTCCATGGAAAACTGACTATTGAAGAAACCAGATCGCTTGCTTTAGGCAATGTCCTTTTGAATCTATGTATGAGGCTTGGCGACGTTTCTAAGAGCTTCATAGAACATGCCCTCACCATGGTTTTGGGCATGCACAACTCGCATAGGAAACTCTTCTATGAATAATGAGATAGTCATTTGATGCTTTAGTCATTCGATGCTTTAATCATTCAATGCTTTAATCATCTATTATGTTCTATTATGGTGTTGATTATAATATCATCATAGGTTGCATAGGAAACTCTTCTTATGTGATATGTTATTGCCTTACGCATGTATGTTTAGTTGGACGCAATTATGCATGCTTGTATGAGATCGATGCTTGATACATAGATCACCAATGCCCTAAATAGCAAAATGCTATCCTTTCTTTCTTTTTTATGATTGATTAGTTAGTGGCATTAAGAGAAAACACGAATTAACTAGTTGTAGTTCCTCTCGCATGTGGCAAAAGTTAGGTTAGGAATGCATTAGCGGAAGGGAGAGGGCATCAGATAGAAGAGATGCATATATGGGTATCATTAATGAGATAGTATGAATGATCATATAGATGAAGCTACCTAGACAATAGTTTTAATCAAATGCTTTAATCGTTGTTTATCTAGATAAAATGTGACACCCCGTGTTTCTTCCTCTGGTCCACTTTTGAGTCGCGAAACGACCTCTGATTGACCCAAAACTTGCTCCTATGCCTCAATTTGCCTGCTAGGACCTAAAATGTGACAAATATACACAACCTAGTGTAAAATAGGTCAAGGATCACCCAAAGGAGAGCCAAATCGATTAAGAAATGAGGGTGAAAACATATACAATATATCACTTATCAAACTTCGCTACACTTAACCGTTTTCTTGTGCCTAAGAAAACTTGACTCAAAGCAGTACAACTTACTAAACTCCCACAACAGTGTACAACTTTCGTTCATTGATAGAGGGTAACTAGCAACTTACGAGGTCAACCAGAGACAAGGAACCCCATTTCCATTTCAAAGTGAACCACAAACTCAGATTGGGACCTTGCTGACCAAAATGGTCTAAACACTTCATGTGCGCACGAAATGACACTAAAAAATGGGTTGAAAATAGTGGACTCAGTACCAATGATCCTACTTGAAAGGGCTCACATTTTGAGCCTCAACCTAACATTGTCACACATGGCATCACACCTTTTCTTGTTCAAAACAAGGATCTCTGTCTCATGGATAAGAGCAAAACTCACATTGACTTCTCTTTCTCAACCTCATGTAGGGAAAGTGATGGTTTAGAGGATGGAATAGGATAGGAAGGTGAAGCATTCAAATGTGATTCCTAATCTCTCAAGCACCAATTCCCACCTTGCACTCCCATCTCACCAACAGACGGGTTACCACACATGTGATACAATATCAAGAGCCGAGGTCTCTCAACTTGCACAAATGCACACTATCTCCTCTCATAAAGTCTCGTGAGTAGGAGAGGTGTTTTGGGGAAAATGGTTACCCGAATTCCCAAACACATCCTCAAAGGACACTCCGGTCTAAAAGAAAAGCCTTTTGACGATTTAACTTAAACGCTATGTCCGGACACTCATTGTTCATTAAAAATCATATGTCCATGGAAGTGCAATCTTAGAACTGGGAGAAGGCTCTATCAATATAAGGGTATAAGCTCAACGAAAATCAAGGAGAATACTCGATTGATACAAAGACAACACTCAACGTGATTGGAGTTGATAGATCAATAATTACACATGTTTTTACCCCTATTCTTGAGCCGTTTGAGAGGTTGACTCTCGTGTTTAAGCCGATTTCACGCGAGGTTGTGTGTTTATGTCATATTTCAGGACCCGGCGTTGGAATCGAGGGGAGGAAACGAGTTTTGGGTCGAAAGGAGCGAAGTTGGGTCGAAGTGTGCTGCAGGAGGAAAATACCCGGTCGGGGGCTCAAATACCCGACCAGGTATTTATTGTTTTGGCACCCGTGAGAAACAGAGGGGGGCCCGGGCGTGAAGCTTAAATCCCCGGTCGGGGATTATTGGATATGACCGGGGATTTTCCCCTGGCACGAAACGCGCGTTTTAATAATACCCGGTCGAGACCCAAAATACCCGACCGGGTATTTCGACCGGTTATCGCGACATGCAGCAGTTTTAAGGGAAAAGAAGGCTGAAAAATCAAGGGATTCGAGTTTTAGAGAGACAGAGCGATTCCTAGAGAGAGAAAGCGACGAACAAGAGTTCCCAAGTGCCCTAGCTTGATCTTCATCACCATTGAAGCTTGGCTTGAGCTTGGAGAAGTGCCGATCAACGTCCAGGAGCAGGAATCCATCCTTCACAGTATGAATTCCGCGTCTGATTCTGCTTTTGCTTCTTTCTCCATGGAGTAGTTCTCCCATTCATCTGGGTATGGAGAACCCTAGATTTGTATGTTAGGTTTGATTGTATGAACCCAAGTATTGATTCTATGATTTGATTATATTCAATTGAGGTTTGAATGATTGAATGGCATGAATCCTGATCAAATTCATGTTGTTTCCGCTTTAACCTAGAATGAGAATATCTGCCTAGGTTGATAGAGCGTCCTTGATTGAAGGTAGGGAGTTGGTGACTTTAGTCGAGGAGCCAACTCACAATTCTGTACCGAATTTACTTCGGTAGTGGAGGTTTTGTTCGTTAGGGCATCAATCTGTTTACTCTGGTGGAGGTTAGTCGCCCGCTAGAGACTCAGATTGAGAGGGTCTGAAGACCTTTAGTCGAGACTTCAGGCTGTTTAAGAACCTTCCGCAGTGTAACTATCATAGAAACTGAACTTGGTAATTGCAATCCGGCTTAACTGCAGTCTAGGGGGAACCATATCCGGGTGACCTCTCTTAACCTGAAAACAACAGTTTACTTGCTTTGCTTGTTTGTTAGTTTAGACTTGCATTAAAGTTTCATTGATAGATAACAAGAATTCACCGAGTAGTCATCAAATCTAGGACCCGGGTTGACATTTAAACCCAAACCCGCTATACTACACTTTAGGAAGTGGTTTCACTTGGCCAATTCCTAGAGTGACAGTAGAAGTGAGTCAAGTTTTTGGCGCCGTTGCCGGGGACGGCTAGGTTGTTGAAGAAAAGTGATTTATGTTAATTTAGCTTTTCTTTTCGCATTGTTTGCTTTGTCCCACTTGTGCCTTCACGGGTTTGCTTGCTTGAGTGTGTGCAGGTAGTGCATGACCCGTAGCCAGTCGGGAGGTTTACTGCCGTTGAATCCAAAGATTGACCGCACTTGTCGCCAACTCAGGAGACAACAGCGAGCTAGACTGGCTACAGAAGAGCGCATAGACGGCCACTTGAGTACGGGATGGACGGAGATTACAATCCACACCAGGGGAACCCTCAGCAGGCTCCCCCGGTGAATCAGGTCCTGGGGAACAACCCCATACCCCAGGCAGATGGGGTTCATCATCATCACCCGTTGCCGGGTCCCACATTGGAGTACTACTACACTCCACGGATTGCTGACATCCGCCCGGTCATCCTCTACCCGCCTATTCCGGCAAACAACTTCGAGATCAAGCCATGCTGGATTCAGCTCATTACATCCTCTATCCAGTTCCATGGCTTGAAGGATGAGGAGGCCAGGGTACATCTTTCCCGTTTTCTGCAGCTGACAAACGGGTTCAAACTGAATGGTGTCCCCGATGATGCAATCCGCCTTCACCTTTTCCCCCATTCTCTGGCGGGGAATGCTAAGAGGTAGTTGGAGGCCCAGCCCCCATTGTCCAT